TCCATCTCCCCCGCCGGGTCCATCTTCGGCGGATCCATCTCCCCCGCCGGGTCCGTGTCCGCCGGGTCGGTCTCAGCCCCAGCCGCCCCGCCGGCCCCGCCGCCGGCCGCCATCGCGGAGAGGGCGGGTCCGCTCCGGGGCCGGGGGTGGGTCCCGGGCGGGTCCGTCCGTCCCCCCGCGGGAGCAGCGGCGGCCCTGGAGCAGAAGGGACCCGGCAGAGCAGAGGTGCCCGCTGTCCCGCCGGGCCCGGTGCCAGTCCGTGCCGGGGGCCCCGCTCGCAGCGGCACTGGAGTTCGTGCACGGTCCCCCCTCGGCTCAGGGGGTTCCCGGCGTGCGCTGTTTTGGTGTTTTCTCGCCGCCGTGAGAACGGGCACGGGCATAAACCACTGCAGAGGCAGTTGCTCACCACCAACCGCCCGATGCCTGGTCCCGAGCAGCAACACCCCCAGACGGCTGTAACCCCCTGGAAAACTGTCCCCCACACCCCATGGCATCATTGTCAGCGTGTGAACTGGGGTAAGGCAAAGGGGAGACATAAATAAAAGCTGACGCAGCCGGGATCAGCTGTCCCGGCCGTGCCCGCCTCGCTGTCAGGGCAGGGGAGGCTGAGAAGCCCTGGACAGGGGCAGCACTGGCAGCGACAGCTCAACACCCGTGTGTGATCAGTCTGCCTCAAAACAGAGGGTTCAGCCTTGTACAACGCTGACAACGCAACGGCTGGATCATAACTGCCCAACTGCAAAGTTGGACTCAAATTCTGAGGGGCTCAGGGCCACAGGGAGCTCCCGGACCGGGAACCGTCAGCCCAGGGGGTCCCGGTCAGGGAGGTCCCGAGGTCCCGGGTCAGAGCGATCGGGGTCGGGGGTCCCGCTCAGGGGGTTCCCGCTCAGGGGGTTCCCGCTCAGGGGGTTCCAAACCTTCCGGTGCCGCCCCGGTCACGTGCAGCTGCGGTCACGTGACAGTGCTGGGCGGGGCCTCATGGGGCAGGTGTGAGCCGGAGCTGCGCATGCGCAGTGTCCCGCCCCGCCGGCAGGGGGCGGAGCCGCGCTGGAGCCGCGCTGCAGCCGCCATGAGCGCGGAGCCGGAGCCGGGTCCGGGGCCGGGAGTGGGGCTGGGCCCGGACCCGACGCCGGGGCCCGCGCTGGACCCCGAGCCCCCCCGGCACTGCGATCCTGCGGGCCCGGGGCCCGGCGCGCTCGGGGGGCTGTTCACGTGGCTGCGCGGGCGCTGCCTGGGCCGCGGCGCCGCCGTGGACCCGGCGCGGGACACGTTCGGCGCCATGACCGGGCTGTACGGCGCCATCCAGCCCGCCGACTCCGTGTCCCTCAGCACCCGCACCCACGGCGCGGTCTTCAACCTCGAGTACTCGCCCGACGGGTAGGTGCGCGTGAGAACCTCGGCGAGGTGTGCCCGGGCCTCTGCCCATTCAGGTGTGCCCTGGATCGACATCCAGGTATGCCTGGGGCTCCCCAGGCCCAGAGGCCGCTCTGGTGACCCTGGGCAGAGCAGGGACCTTCCCTCTCCAGGACAGTCAGCTTCGATCCCTGCTGACGAGTGCCCAGCTCAGACTGCTGCCACGGCTTCCCTGGTGCTCCCAAATCTGTGTTTTACAAGGCTTTAGTGAAAAGCCCTCGCTGGGTTTGCAGAAGGGCAAATAGATATTCCAAATTAGCGTTTGAGTTGGTGTTACTGCAGTGTCAGAACACCCAGAGGGTGTGGGCAGGGGAACCCACAGCACGAGAGGTACCTGCCAGAGGGCAACCCCCCCCAACGCAGAGGTTCTGCTCCCTCAGGTCGGTGCTGACCGTCGCCTGCGAACAGACCGAAGTCCTGCTCTTTGACCCAATATCCTCAAAGCACATCAAGACTCTCTCTGAGGCCCATGAAGACTGTGTTAACAACATCAGGTAGGTCAGGAGGGGTGTTTTGCCACAGCTCAGCCATTATGCTTTCAATCCTCTGCCAATCTCTCAGGACAGAGCAGAAAATAGTGGGAGCCTAAGTCCACAGTATTTTTATCATGCAAATTTTTTCCTTTAAAATCAGAGTTTCTTTAGCTGTTCTGCATCTGTGAATTGATTTTGAGGGGTGAATTTAAGGTACCTTCTAATAATATTGCAGCTACTCTTCAATTCTTAAAGCAAAAAAGAAACCTCCCCCAAAAAACCAAAAACCCAAAACAACAACCAACGACAAAACAACAAAAACTAAACCCGAACAAAAAAATTCAAGAAAACTGCAGAACAGTCTGAGCATTTCCCCTCAAAAGAGACAGATATGATATGGGGTGCCATGTTCCTCAGATAAGTCAATGTTTTTCACAAGTTGGCTGTCCTTTTTATGAAAAAGACTGAAGTTTTACGTCAGCTGGTTGTCTGTCAGGAAAGCTGAAGTAAAATGTGCATCTATCTGGCACAGAGGAACTGAACTCTGTTCTGCACACAGTTACTGCAGTGTTACCTGAAACCTTGTTCTGGTTAACGAGCAGGACTCCAGCCACTGTGGCACTGCAGAAATTCCTTGTAATAAACGCCAAAAGTGCTTATTACACCAGAGTTTGGGATTTCTCCCATGGTGATTGGTTATTGTTCATTTTTTCAGGGTTGTTGCTACTTTTGTGTGGTGCAGCACTGAGATAAAGGATGTTTAGTGGGTGTTTTTTGAGTGGGTGTCTTGTCCATTTACCTCAGGTCGGGCTTTTTTTCACTGAATGCTTTCATTGGGCATGAATTCCAAACATAAACCAGCATGCTTTGTCCTTCTAAATGTAAATGCAGGCCTGAGTTCTAGTGGGAGCAGACAGTACTCAGCTTTAATTGTGTAGTGCCAACTCGGTGGTTTTGCCTGTTGATTTTCTCAGTGAACCAAACAACTTTTGTGTGTTCTCAAACAAGGTCTTGTCTTCACTCGGTGTTTTTGGAAAGCCTTGCATTTGCTTCAGTAACCTCTAGACTCAGTTTATTCAGCTTACTTCCTAGCTGTGCTAAGTCCAGCCCCTCCATCTCCACTGAGCTCAGTGTTGTCCAGAGAGGGAATGGGTGGAGTTACTGCTGGGATTCTGTCTGAGTGTATGTTCCACCAGTGGTTTGGCTCTTGTGTGATTTGTACATGATTCAGTAACATACAAAACGCCTAAAAACCCCCAAACTAAACCAAACTTTTGCTGTGCCTCTGTATTTATTTGCTACTACAGAGGTACTACTGGTTCATATCCCGACAGTTCTGCTTTTATTGGAGATTTTATTGGTACATATTCTGCTGTGTGTTTTGGGTTTTTTTTGTGTGTGGCTATTCTGTTTATCTCTGTGCTAGCTTACATTCCTGCCCAAGAGCATTTGCCTTGGAGAAGGCCCTGAGCAGCTGCAGTGTTTCCCTGCCGTTCCCAGGTTTTTGGATAACCGACTGTTTGCAACGTGCTCCGACGACACGACGATTGCACTCTGGGACTTGAGGAAGCTGAACACCAAAGTTTGCACTCTGCATGGCCACACCAGCTGGGTCAAGAACATCGAGTACGACACCAACACGAGGCTGTTGGTGACGTCGGGCTTCGATGGAAATGTGATCATCTGGGACACCAACAGGTACCCAGATGTTTACCCTGTGTTTGCACCATGGCGTTTCTGCAGCACACCAGGATAGGGCTCTTCTGTACAAGGTGCAGACTCGAGGGGGGCTGGAATATGTTCTGAAACACTGGGAGTAGTGTATACCCCTTACCAAGAGCTTGCATCACCTCTCTGTAGTGATGTCCCATCTATTAGGTCCAGTGACTGAAAGGACCAAATTTTTGCTGACATGCCAAAATGTAATTCTTCCTTTTGGAGAAAGTTCTGTCCTCGTTGTGGTCATATGAACTCATGAGTTCTGCCATTTCATTAAAAAGTAGGATAAAGACAGTGCTCCAGAAAGAGATTTTGGGGTGAACAAGGATGCTGGGCACACCTTGGACCCTCAGGTGCAGGACATCAGGGCCTGGAGTCGGGGCTGACCTTGGCTTGTGTCACTGTCCAGGTGCACAGAGGATGGATGTCCCCACAAGAAGTTCTTTCACACCCGCTTTCTCATGCGAATGAGGCTGACGCCAGACTGTTCTAAAATGCTCATCTCCACCTCTTCTGGTTACCTCCTGATTTTGCATGACCTTGACCTAAACAAGTCCTTAGAGGTTGGCAGCTACCCGATTTTAAGAGCCAGGAGGACCACGTCGAGCTCAGGTGAATGTTGTGCAGCGCTCTGGGGCAGCCCTGTGTTAGAGGTATTTTGTGGGGTGCTCTTGGCAGCATCCCAGGTGGGCTGGGCATGCCTGTGGTGCTCACCTGGTGATGCTGTTTGCAGACATAACGTCATCTGGCTCCTCCGGCCCTCGAGCTGTGGGTTCACCCTGTCACCAGCATGACTCGGGTCCACTTTCTGAGAAACACTTGTCACGGTCCTCCCAGCGAGAAGGTAGGACAAGTTCACCAAAAAAAGATAAATTAAAACAAATCATAGACTTTGTCTTGTATCAGAAAAAGCCAGAGTGTGATAGTGAAAAACTGCATTTTTGTCTCTATGGTTATAAAAAAAA